AGAGAGAGAGAGAGAGAGAGAGAGAGAGAGAGAGAGAGAGAGAGAGAGAAGAAGAAGAAGAATCAAAGAATGACTTTGTAACTAAATCATTAAAGTTAAAACAAGCAAAGTAAGAAGCTAACATCAGCAAAACAGTGGCTAAAATAAGCAAAAAATGTAGCTATAATATTAGTGACACATTAGCTATAGCCATGGCTTGCAAAATTATAAGTAGCTATGCAAAGCTAAAATCAAAATTATGCAAACAACTAAAAGCTAAGAATAGCAAAGCTGTAACTGAAAGCTAAATGTAGCAAAAAGTGCATATTAAAGCTAACTTTAGAAACAAATTAGAAAAAAATCTAATCAGCACAGCAGGAACTCAAACTTAAAGTTAGTAAAACTATCATTAAAGATACAGCTAGCAAAACGGTATATAAAAGTAGCTAAAAGCTAAGTTTAACAAAATGGTTTCTAAAAGCTAAATGTAACAAACAGCCAAAGCCTAACAGTAAACTGTAGTAAAAACTTACAATTATCAAAAAATAAACTTTGTAAAATAGGTACACAGTAAAAAATGAAATGTTGGATTTACTAAAGTCAACTGGTTCCACTTAACTGAGTTGAGTAAATTCAAAGCAATATACCAGTTTTTTTAACCAAAGAACATGAGTATGTTGCTTTGAATTTACTCAACTCAGTTAAGAGGATCCAGCTGACATAACATGGTTAAGTAAATCCAACATTTCATTTTTAGAGTGTACAACATAACACTCACAAATGAAGACAAAAGTTAAAAATTTCAAGACACAAAATAAAGTTAAAACAGAGCAGCCTAWTTCTTAAATCTAAATAATAGATAAAAACAATATTTTGACCTCCAACCTGCTCTAATTGTTCACCAAAAGTCTTATTGTGTTCAAATAGAAAGAAAATTGCTTAATTTGCTTTACTGTGTTATTGTTATTTTTAGTGGCATTATGAAACCAGGCATGAAYGCAATCATGGGAGCAACTGGGAGTGGCAAAACATCGTAAGATTATTATATTTTTATTTGATTTTTACAAATACATGTGTACTTCTACCATCTGCACAGTTACATGAAGATAACTTTTACCATTCCCAGACTCCTGGATGTAATCGCAGGCAGAAAGGATCCTGCTGGACTCCGTCAGGGACAGGTCCTGGTGAACGGCAGACTTGTCACTTCTGAGCTCAGACTCAGTTCTGCCTATGTGGTCCAGGTTAGCAAACACAGATGGACACATTCCTTATTCCATAAAGTGGAGTTTCAACATCCTCTTTGTGTTTTCAGGACGACATCCTGATGGGAACTCTGACAGTGAGAGAAAACCTCTTGTTCAGTGCCAACCTGCGACTCAGCCCAAAGTTTTACTCCTCCGCTGATAAAAACAGCAGAGTGAACTCTGTCCTGAAAGACCTGGGCCTCACAGACTGTGCTGACACCAAGGTACACAGCTTACACATATGAAGCATAAATGCTAGAAACATAAACAGAGCTCTAATCAGTGTGTMAGACAATACATTTAATTCTGTAAAGTAGTTTTCTAAGATATACAATCATTAATATATGAAAAAATACTAAAACAATGTAATGATGAAATTGTAGCCATTTTAATAAAACCTTAAATATAGTGTTATGTTATATTACCYGTTACTACCATGATAAATAGACAAATATTGGCTGAGGATCTTGTGAAACTAATAGATTTTCCATGTTTGTGTTTGCCAATGTTGATTGGCAGCCTTCTTGAACTGGATTGACTCCAAAAGTTTATCAGTTAGAAATGTTCATCCAGTAACAATAATAATAATAATAAT